TCTCACTATGCAGTTCAGGCTGGTCTTAAACTTACTTTGTAGCCCAGGCTGGCCTCAAACTTGCAGTGATCCTCCTGCCTCAGCCTTCCAAACACTAGGATTACAGGTGGGCACCACCACGCCCTACCACTAACGCTAACCTTGAACTTGCAATCCTCCTGCCTCAGCTTCCCAGACTGCTGGGATCACAGGAATCTGCCACCATACATAGCAAGGTAATCATTTTAACTATTGCAGCACTAAACTGGGGACAGGGACCGCAGGGTGCAGGGATGTCTCCAGAGGGTTCTGCTGGGGGTGGGGCTGGTCCCACAACACAGTGCAGCAGATTGCTGAGGTGCCGCCCTGGACACTGGGGAGGAGCCAGCCCCAGCTTGGCACTTGCTGCTGGCCTCGAACCCAAGAACTGAAACTTCCTGACTTGGTCTCCTCCGAAGTGGGAGGAGAGCCCTTTGCAATGAGGCGGTGCTGAGGACCAGCAAGACTGCTGCACACATCCCCTCAGTATCAGCGGACACAGAAACCCAGGAGAAGCCCTTCTCCTCATCCTGGCCCCAGAAGACCTCGGCACAAATCCCGGGGCGGCTGAGGCGGAGGCGGGCAGGGAGCCGTCCGCGGGCTGGCGCCCCCTGCTCCTCACTGGCGGCTTCCTTCCCTTTGCATCTCCGTCCTCGACTCTGGTCCTCGGCGGCGCTGGGCTCCTCAGCTGCGTCCCGAGCCCTGGCCGGCCCCGCTCACCTCCTGCCTCTCCCCCGCCTCCTCTGTAGTTCGGGGACCCGGGCCACCACTCAGAGTCCCCGGGAGGGCTGCGGGCTGGCCTCACCTGCAGTGCACGATGGGCGGGCCTCCCTCCTCCGTCTGGTCCAGCCACGGCCTCAGCGTCTTCCAGAAAGCCAGCAAGGGGTCCGGGGAGGGCGGCACGCCGTGGTCCGGCCAGGACAGGTAATGGAACTGTCGCACAGGCAGGGTCTTCTGCTCCTCCATCTGGAAGGAGGGAGCGCGTAGGCCCAGGGAGACCTGGGGGACCCCCTGCAGGCCTGGGGGCCCCCCTGGGGGCCTGGGACCCCTGGAGCACTGTGTGGGGCGGGGACTCACGTGGAGTAGCTGCAGGTCCCGAACCGCCCAGTTCTCTGTCACCTCCTCGTCCACCAGGGTCACCTGCAGGTGCCCGTGGGTGCAGGGCTGGGCGTTCAGAGGCCAGTAGTGTTCGCACTTCACCTGCAGAGCACAGGGCTGTCAGGAGGCCGCCGTGCTCGCGGTCTCCTGCTCCGCGTGGGGAGACCTTGCTCTGGCGCCGGGCAGGGACCTGTGTGTGGCTGGGTGCAGGCTCATGCCAGCTGCAAAGACCCTTCCCAGGGATGTAGCTCAGGGGTGCAGCGCCTGGTGAGGCCCTGAGTTCAATTCCCAGCACCAAAAAAAAAAAAGGAAACAGACCCCTCAGTCCTGAGACCAGCTCCACCCCTGCTGAAGCTTTGTGTGCCCTGGAAGCACAGGCACTGGAGATGCCACCCGGAGCTCTGACGCTAAGGGTCTGGAGGCGGCCTGGGGAGGGACCCCCGGCGGCCTCTGCGGTGAGGGGCGCCCTGAGCACGCGGCTGGCCCTGTGTCCCGGCGGTGCCTCGGCCACAGGGTGACACAGACGCTGTCCCCGGCCGGCACCTGCTTCCACCGCCCGGCGCGGGTCGTGGCGGGGCGGCCGTGGGCGGGCGGCCGGGATGGGGGCTCACCCGGCCGGCCTCCAGGCAGTTGGTGAGCATCACCACGGTGCGGCTCTGCTGCTCCCACACCAGGCGCCAGAAGTCGCGCACGGTCTGCGGCAGGGGGCCCTGGGCCGCGATGAACTCCCGGGGGCTCCCGAGGCCCTGGCAGAGGAAGGCGGGCGTGTCGGGCCCAGGAGAGCCCCGGCCCGCGTCCCGGCCCAGCCTCCTCCCGCCCGACCCGACCTCACAGGCATGAAGCTGGCGTTGATGTAGTCAGAGCCCGGCTCGTCCTGGAGCGGCTGCAGCGGCACCCGGGACCAGTCGTCTAGGAGCAGGCAGAGCGGTGAGGGGCGCGGGGCGGCCGGGGGCGGCGGAGGGCAGGGACCTGGGCGTGGACAGGACAGGCACGGGCCGGGACTCACAGGGCAGCACGTTCCGGTAGCGGTTCTTGGCCTTGTTCTCCGGGGCCGAGGCCACCACCTGCGGCTGGCCCTCGCCCTCCAGGCACAGACGCTGCGGAAGGAGCGCGGGTCTTTCTCCAGGGCCCCAGCGCGCCCTGCGCAGCTGCATAGGGGGAAGGCCGCCACCCTGGGAGCGCAGAGGGCGCCTGGGGACCGCGAGAGCGCAGGGGGCCGCGCGGGGCTGCGGGCGTGAGCAGGGCCAGGCGGGACGCGCGGCGGGCGCCCACCTGGTACTCGTCCGCAAAGCCACGGTTGCTGTCCTTCTCGTTTCCCCTGACGTAGTCAGCGAAGTCTTTGGCCAGGATGGCCCCTGGGAAGCTGTCGGGGAGAAGGGAGCGAAGATTAGAACCCCTTCATCCTACGCTCTTGTAAAGAAAGGGTGGTTCTGATCCTGCAATGCCACTGCAGGTCGTACACCCCACAGCAATGAGAGGGACTCAGGGAGGTGCTTGTGCACCTGTGGGCTCTGCAGCATTACTCACAACAGCCCCAAGAGGGAAGTAGCCCGAGCCTCTATTCACAGATAAATGGATAAAGAAAATGGGGTCCAGCCACACAGTGGAATATTACTCAGCCATGAAAAGGAAGGAAATGCTGACACATGCTACAGCATTGTGCTAAGCAAACTAAGCAAACACACACACACACACACACACACACACACACAAGATGATGCATAACTGCACTTATTTGAGGGACTTCTGGGAGTCAAATTCAAGAGACAGAAAGGGAGACGGCGGTTGCCGGGGCAAGGGGAGTATTACCTAGTGGACAGAGAGTTTTGCAAGATGAAAAGAGCCCTGGAGATGAGTGACTGTGACAGCTGCAAAGTGATATACTTTACCCTGCTGTGTGGCAAACTCTAAAATGGCTAAGGTGGGCCAGGGATGTAGCTCAGCGACACAAGCACCTGCCTGCAAGCGCAAGGTCCTGAGTTCAATTCCCAGTGCCAAAAAATAAAATAAAAATGGCTAAGGAGCTGGGCTTGAACTTGTGATCCTCCTGCTTCAGCCTCCTGAGTAGCTGGGATTACAGGCGTGTGCCATCCCATTCAGTAATTTACTTGTTTTGTTTTGTTTTGTTTTCTGGTACCAGGAATTGAGCTCACGACCTCGCGCTTGCCAGGCAGGCACTGTGCCACTGAGCTAAATCCCCAGCCCCTCAGCAGTAATTTAAAAGACTCTCCTCTCCCTCTGCCTTCAGCTTGGAGGCATGCTGGGCTCCCTCCCCTTGAACAAGCTGGCTGCCCCTGCCAGGCACCAGACACCGGAGTCCTCACCTCCCTCCCCGAGCCCACACACCTGCCCCAGTGTTTGTGCCACAGAAACCGAGGAAAGCCTTGGCCTACGGCTCTGCACCTCCCTCCCCACTGCCTGGCCCTTTCGCTGTGACCAACCATCTTTCCCATGGCAGGTGCCTCCCACTATCTTCAAACTCACAGTGATCCTCCTGCCTCAGCCTCCCAAGTGCAGGGATTATCTCCTAGGCTTTTGTCCTTGGCTGTAGCTTTGCTTTCTCTATCTGAACAGTGATTTTGGACAGAATCTCTGTCACCGGTTCCTACGTCCAGGTCTCCTAGACTTTGGAACTGTTTTACCACCCAAAGCCTGGGTGTCCTGGGGAGGTCCTGACACTAAGATATCGAAACACAGGGTTTTTTTTTCTTTCTTTCTTTTTTTGTCTTTTTGAGACAGGGTCTCACTATGCAGTTCAGGCTGGCCTTGAGCTCACTTTGGAGCCCAGGCTGGCCTTGAACTCACAATGGTCCTTCTGCCTCAGCCTCCCAAGTGCTGGGATTACAGGGGTGCACCAGCACGCCTGGCTTAACAGTTTTTTTTGTTTTTTTGTTTTTTTTTTTTTGGAGAGGAAACTGGGGATTGCACCAAGGACCTTTAAAATGAGCTATATCCCTAACTTTAGTGGGGTTTTTTTGGTCTTTTTGAGACAAGGTCTCACTATGCAGTTCAGGCTGGCCTTGAACTCATTATATACCCCAGGCTGACCTCTGACTCCTGATGATCTTTCTGCCTCAGCCTCCTGAGTACTGGGATTACAGGTGTGCATCTCCACACCCAGTGCCCAACCTTTTTAAATTTTTTGTTTGTTTGTTTCAAAACAGGGTTTTGCTAAGTCACTAAGTTGACAAGGCTGGGCTCAAACTCGTCATCCTCCTGCCTCAGCCTCCCAGAATTCTGGGTTACCGACTTGCACCACCATGCCAGCTCAGACTTGTGCATTGAAGTTGCTGGTAGCGAACACTCAACATATCAGAGGTGGGGCCAGCTCCGTGCAATAGTATGTAGTCGGCGCTATCTGCAGCCTGTGGCCCGGGGTGAGGCGGTCTGCTCTGCTGGGGATGCTGGCGAGGACAGATCCCACAGTGAAGAGGAAACGGGACCTCACCTCTGCCCACACCGTGCTGTTCTGCCACGCACGTCCGGGTCTGAAGCCCGGGCCTTGGTCTTCAGCTGGCCCTTTGGTGCTCGCCTCTCATGCCTGGGCTCTCCCTACACTGCCCCCACCCCGCCCTCCACCTAATGTACGGGCCTTGGCCTAAGCTACCGAGCAGCCTGAGCTCAGCGGCGTCTGCTCCAAGCTCCCTGGAACACAGAGCCGTGTCCAGCCCGCGCTGTCCCAGGGCAAGGCACACCCCAGTGCCTTCGACTTCCTCCTAACCCTGCGCCCAGCGCACACCAGGGCTCCCTGTGCTTGCCGCTCCCTGGAGTCATCCCGAGCCCGCCCAGCCCACATCCCGTGCCTACTGTCCAGCAGGAGCTTTCTGAAATCCAGCCCCCTGTACCATCCCCAGTCCAAGACGGCACCAGCCCTCAGCGGGGTACTGTCGATCTCTCCTTGGGTCCCCGTCTCTGCTTCTTCACCATGCTGGGCTGTATCGCCAGGCTCCCCCAAACCTCCCAAGTCTCCGCGTCGGACTAAACCCACGCTCCTTGCCTCCACCCGCAGGCTCTGCCTGACCTGGTCACACTGGCGCTCCTCAGGCTCACTTCCTGACAGCCTCTTCCTCTGTTCTGTCTCCAAGCTGCCCAGTGTGCCCAACGCCCCAGCACCCTTGCCACTGACTGCCCCAGGGCCTTTGCATGGCTGGCTTCTTCCCGCAGTGCCTTCCCCATGGTGCCAGGACTCCTCACAGCCTCCAGGTCAACTAACATCTTAGGCCTCTTATTTGATTGACTGATGATTGATTTTTTTTTTTTTTTCTGATGATTGATTTTTCTGAGACAGGTTCTCACGACATAGCTCAGACTGCCTCTAACTTGCTATATATACTAGGCTGGCTTCAAACTCAAGATCTTCCTGTCTCAGCCTCTGGATGCTGGGATGACAGGACCCTGCTACAGTGTTCATCTCCCTCCCTATCTTCTGCTCTAGCTTTGTCTCCAAACACATCTCCTAATCCGTATTCAGTAATGTCCTCTTGTACTAGAACACAAGCTTCCCAAGGGCAAGAATCTCTCTTACTGTTTCCTAGGAGAGTGCCCAGCAGATTTCAGTGCTCAGTTGATAGCTGATGGATGAATGAATGGATGGATGAATGAATGAGCGGATGTCCCGGCCAAGGCAGGACCTGACTCCAGGCACCAGCTGGGGCATGCGAGCCCTGGACCAGCCCTCTGCCCTGTCCAGAGACCAGCAAACACACGGACTGCCCAACACGACTGTCCCAAGCTCCCCAGGCCTCTGCTCACCTGAAGTCCAGTTCCTGCGGTGCTTCCTGCTTCCGCTGCTTCCTGTTCCTGGGAAGGATGGCGGGAGGTGAGGGAGAGACCACAGGCTTCTTTGCGGAACCTCTTGGTTGCCCGCCAGCCCCGCACTGTACCAAGTCTCACCTCTTCTTCAGGAACAAAACCAGCAGGCCCGCGAGGAGGAGGATCAGGAGGACGCCCACAACGGCTCCAGCAATGACGCCTGGGGAGGAGCAGGGTGCCTTAGACGCCAGGCCTGGTCTCCTGACCCGCTGGCTCCAGCCTCACCAGTGCTGTACACGGAAGACGCTGAGGCCGAGAGGGTCAGGGAAGTCTCTGGACAAAGCCCTGTCTCCCCGACTTTCCCTGCGCAGGTTCCCGGGCCTGATCTGAACGCCCGGGGCTGCCGCGGCTCTGCCTTCCTCAGCCTGGACAGTGATCCTCATCCCTGCTGCAGGATGGATTGAGCCCTCGGCCCAGCTCCGTCAGCCATGGAGGGCAGGGCTGCTCGGGGCAGCTGCTGCTCAACAGGCCCCAGCAGCGCCTGGCCGAATCCTACAGCATCAGATGAAAGACGGTCCTCTCAGGGACAGAGCCACCCCAAGTCACAGAGCCTGGCCAGGCGTGGTGGGGAGCACCCACTCATGCTGCCACAGCCTCCCCCGTCTCTCCACGCTGGAGACAGTGTTCCAAGAGGCTCTGCTTCCTGGGAGGGGATACATGGGGCAAAGTGGGGTCTTCAGCTGAGGTACATGGCCAGAACTTTCCAAAGTCAAACTCCAAAGCTCTTCAAGTACCCCACTGATAAATGGTACGGCCACATTAGGTAAAAATCTGGCAAACAGCCAGAGTTTTGTCTTGTTTGTTTTTTGTTTTGTTTTGTTTTGTTTTGTTTTTGCAAACAGCCAGAGTTACCATGTGACCCAGCAATTCTACTCTTGGGTATATGCCCAAGAAAAATAAAAACATATGTTCACACAAAAACTTGTACACAAATGTTCATATCAGTATTAATCCATACAGTCCCAAAGTGGAAATGATACCACTAATTTGTTAACCAATGAATGGATAAATAAAATGTGGTATGTCCACACCATGAAATACTACTCTGCAGTGAAAAGGGAGAAAGCACTTATTCGTGAAATTAGAGACTGTCCAGGGCAGGAGGATGGGAATGGGGAATTAAGGAGTGATGATGAAACGGGGTGAGTTTTCTTCCTGGAGTAATCAAATGCTCTAAAATTGATAGTGGTGATAGTTGTACAATGTTGAGAATGTACTAAACGTCACTGAACTGCACCATTAATGTGGGTGGATCCCCAAGCTGAGTCAATCACTGTGTGTAGCACGAGTGTAAAGTGCTGGACAATATGTCCCATGTATTACATCTCAGAAAGCTGTCATTAGGCAAACAGACCCCCAAAAGGCCCAGGGACTCCAGCCCACAGAGGCCGGCTCTCCCTCCGCTCAGCCCCGCCTGGGCTCTGCTCACCCACATTCTCAGTGTAGCAGGTCACCGAGGCAGACTTGGTCCTCAGCCCGCTCCAGATGGTCGTGACGGTGACTGCGTAGGACCGAGCCGGCCCAAGGCCCGACAGGAACACTTTACTCTGGCATGAAGATCTGTCCTGGGAGTCCTGCTGCCGACCCACCTCCAGCTCAAAGCCATCATACCCGCCAGAGGGGCAGGACCAGGTCAGGATGAGCCCATAGCCCCCTGAGGCACTGACACAGGAGGCAATGGTGACGGAGTCTGGAGCTGGGGATTAAGGACAAGGGTGATGAATTATTACATTCAAATAGTAATTTAAAAAAACAAGTCATGAACAAAATAGTCAAGAACTCTAGGACACAAAAGACAAAGCATGAATTTTTGCTATAGAGGAGGTACTGAGGTATAGATGAAAGGCATGGAAAATCTATTCAGTAAAATAATAACAGAAACTTTCCCAAATCTCAGGAAAGATTTGGACATCCAGGTGCAGGAAGCATTTAGAACCCAAGACAGGAAGAGAAGAACCCACCCCTGTCACATTGTAGTTAAAATGCCATGAGCTCAGAGCAAGGAAAGGATATTGAAAGCAGGGAGAGAAAAATGGCAGAAACATTATTATAAAAACAAATGCCTCAGAATGATTGCAGATTTTTTAGCAGAAACTTCAAAGGCCAGGAGGCTTTGGAATGACACATTTCCAACCTGAAAGGAAATAACTGCCAACCTAGATGACTCTATCCAGTAAAGTTACCTTCAAAATGGAAGGAGAAATACAGATCTCCCAAGGCAGCCATAAACTAAAGAAAGTCAGAACCACTAGGCCAACACCGAAGAAAAACACGAAGGAATACCGCATACAGAAGACGGAGTACAGAAGGAAATGAGAACTGGGAAGAGATCAAAAGGTACAAAAACACTATGACAGGAAGCAATACATACTTCTTATACTAGTTCTGAATATAAATGGTCTCAGCTCTCCAATTTAAAGATACAGACTAGAATTAAAATAAAAGACCCAACTGCTTGCTGGCTGCAAGAAACACACATCACCAACAAAGACATATATGTACAGTGATGAAAGTGAAAGGATGGGAAAACAGTATTCCATGCAAATGGAATGTAAAAGCGAGCAGAAGTAGCTCTACTCACGTCCAACAAACAGACTCAACCCTAAATTAAGCCAGAAGAAACAAAGGCCACCACTTACTGATAAAGAGAACAATCCGCCCAGGAGATATAACTGTACATATAGACACATTGAACTTCACTGCACCAAATTTCATAAAACAAACACTACTCTTCATGAAGGGACAGGTAGACCTCAATACAATTGTAGAGGGTGACTTTAATACTTCACTCTCACCAACAGATATGGCACCCAGACCCTCCAAATCAGCATACAGACATCAAAGTTAAACTGCATTATAGCTCAAAAGGACATAGCAGACATCACAGAACATTCTACTCAACAGCTGCAGAATATACATTCTTTTCAACAGCTCATGCAACTTTCTGCAACATAAATCATATTTTAAGCCATAAATCAGTCTTAAAAATACAAACAATTGAAATAATTTCTTGTATCTTTTCAGATCATAATGGAATGAAACTAGAAGTCAACAGAAAGAAACCTAAGAAACTGTACAAACACACAGAGATTGAACAATTCACTTTTTTTTTAGTACCGGGAATCGAACTCAGGACCTTGCGCTTGCCAGGCAGGTGCTTGTGCTGCTGAGCTATAGCCCTGGCCCTGAACAATTCACTTTTGAATGATCAATGGTTCATTGGAGAAATCAAAGGGAAAATTTAAAGTCATAAAATCAAATGAAGACAGGGGGCTGGGGATTTAGCTCAGTGGCACAGCACTTGCTTGGCAAGTGCAAGGTCATGAGTTTGATTCCCGGCACCAGAGAAAAACCAAAAAAAAAAAAAAAAAATGAAGACAGGAACACAATATATTAGAATCTCTGGGATACAGCAAAAACAGTCCCAAGAGAAAAGTTTATAACTATTAGTTCCTACATTAAAAAAAAGATCAGAGATCTCAAATGAATAACCTAATGATGCATCTTGAGATCTCAGAAAAACAAAGAAATTAAATATAAACTCAACAGTAGGACAGAAAAGAATAAAGACCACAGCTGAAATTAGTGAAATAGGGATTTAAAAGATCAATGAAGAGTTGGTTCTTTGAAAAGATAAACGAGACTGATAAACTCTTAACCAAACTAATCAAAAGAGAGAGAAAAGTCAAATCCATACAATAAGATATGAAAAAGAGCTATTGCAACAAATAACACTGAAATCCAGAGGATTGTTAATGGCTATTTTGAAAACCTATATTCCAATAAATTGGAATCTAGGAAAAAATGAATGTGTATAAATGTATATCACAAAATTGATTCACAAGAATATAAAAACCTAAGTAGATCAATAGCAAGCAATGAGACCGAAGTACAAAAAAACTCCCCAACAGAGCCCAGCATCAGACAGAGTCACTACTGCTCTTACCGGACCTTTAAAGAAGAACTAACGCCAACGCTTCTCAAACTACTGCATGCAATAGAAAGGGAAGGAACTCTTCCCAACTCACTTTATGAGGGCAAGATCACCCTGACCTCAAACTAGATAAGAACACAACAGAAAATGGAAACTTTAGACCAATATCCTTGATGAACATAATTGCAAAAATCCTTTAAAAATAATACTTGTAGGGGCTGGGGATTTAGCTCAGCAGCAAAGCGCCTGCCTGGCAAGCACAAGGTCATGAGCTTGGTTCCCGGTACCGGAGAAAAACCAAAACCAAAACCAAAAAAAAAAAACAAAAAACTTGTAACCAGGCGTGGTGGCACATGCCTATAATCCTAGCATTTGGGAGGCTGAGGCAGAAGGATTGCCTCAAGTTTGAGGCCAGCCTGGTGCTACACAGTGAGTTCAAGGCTAGCCTGCACTACACAGCAAGAACCTACCTCACAAAATGAATGTGTATAAACATATATCAAAAAACTTGCTGACTGAATGCAACAACATATTGAAAAAAATAGCACCCTGATCAAATTGTTTTCATTTCAAGAATGAAAGGATGCTCTAACATATGCAAATCAATAAATACAGCACACAAAATAAATAGAATCAAGGACAAGAACTGCACGATCATCTCAACTGATACTGAAAAAGCATTTGATACAATTCAGTATCCCTTCACAATAAAAGCCCTAAGAAACTAGGTGCAGAGGATTATACCTCAACATAATAAAGGCATGTATCACAAACCTATAGCTACCATGATACTGAATGGGAAAAACTGAAAGCATTTTCTATAAAATCAAGAATGAGGCAAGGATGCCCATTCTCACCACTCTTATTCAACACAGTGCTTGAAATTTTAGCTGAGCAATTAGATAAGAGAAAGAAATAAAAAGGATAAAATAAGATACATTATTCTTATTCATAGAATATATATCGTATACTAAGGAAACCCTAGAGACTCCACAAAAAGATGTTTAGATCCGATAAACAAATTGAGCAAAGTGTTAGGATACAAAATCAACACTAAAAAAATCAATAGTATTGCTTAGTGTGGTGGCACACACTTGTAATCCCAGCACTTGGGATGCTGCAAGAGGACTGCCACAAGTTCGAGGCCAGCCTGGGCTACAAAGTGAGATCAAGGCCAGCATGAACTGCATAGCAAGACGCTACCTAAAAAAAAAAAAAAAAAAAAAAAGTCAATAGATTTTTATACATCAATAATGAATAGGCTGAGAAAGAAGTCAGGAAAATAATTCAATTCACAATAGTTTAAAAACATACCTAAGTATCAACCTAATCAGTAGGTGAAAGAACTCTGCATCAAAAATTACAAAACACTGAACAAAGAAATTGAAGAGGACACTAGAATATAAAGGAGCCCAAAATATGCACTGGAGAAAAGACGGGCTCCTTAACTAACTGTGCTGGGAAAACTGGGTATCTATAGATGGAATCTTGAAACTAGATCTCTAGCTCTCACCCTATAGAAAAGTCAGTGTAAAATGGATCATGTGTGAAATGCCACAATGAATCCCTACACTTTAAAAACTTAATATGCACTAATGAAATGTATGTTAAAAGAGGCCCAGGGCATCTTTTGGGCTGATGGAAATGCTCTTTCTCTGTCCATCAGGCAGGGAGTGGCTCAGGGGTGGACAAGGTAACGCTGGAGACCGCGCCACAGTTCTGCCCACAGCACCATGGAACTGAGTTTGTGATTTCACACAGCTTTACCTTGAATTGAACTGGCTGCCTGTGATGAGGACTAATGTATCAGATAACAGGACACCAGAAAGAGGGAACTGTCACATCAAAACAATTTAGCAGTTGATCACAGCTTCCACCCTCAATATGTGATACAGATGGTTCTAGAAAAAGGGTCAGAGGACCGTAGCGTCCCAATGACAGTAATATATAATTCCCTAGGCGCTCAAGTGACATGCCCAGGCCCCAAACACCCTTGTTTGTACCAGGAGATATGCTTGCAATTCTAGAATAGAGCCTTTGACCCTGATCATCTGTTATGGCTTGTACCTTTTTTTTTTTTTTTTTTTTTTTTTTTTTTTCTCTTTGCAAGTTACTAGGCTCAACCTATACTAAAG